GGGCGCGACACCTCCTACCTTCGGGCCAGCGAGGACCACACTCTTCCCTCAGCCCTCTCGAATCATCCTCCGGCTGCAGGAGAGGGCGAGCGGGGTCCGCTTTTGTTCCCTGGGGCTGGCAGGTCCGCGTGGGGCCAGGACGCGCGGGAGACGCCGCGGAGCTGGGTATCCCGAGCAGGCGACGCTCACTCGCGGCAGCTCCGCCCGCAGCAGCAGCGGCGGGAGCGGCGGCGGCGGAGATAGTGCGGGCTCTCTGCAGGCCACATCTTTCATACCTTATACATCACTACCGCATTCCCCCGAATAGGGGAGCCCTACAGCATTTCGCCACCTAGCGCAGAACGCAGGCACCCAGCAGCGGCGGCCAGGCTGGCCCTGGCCAGGATGCAGGCACCTCGAGGGGTGACAGGCCTCAGCACCCACTCACAGGCTACCTCCCCGCTCTGATCACAGCGAAGCCTACAACTCGCAGCCACCTTGCTGCCCTCGCCCTTTGGGACTGTCTGTTCCCCTGGGAAGTCTGGACTTTAGGCTGAGCAATGATGATTTGTTAGAGGGGAGCCACCGCTGAGCTGGTGCAGGAGTCAAGGTCTGCACGTGCTTTTAGGGGGCCCCATCCTTGCTGGAGTCGGCACACTCATGATGCTTTGCAGCAGCAGACACTCTGTTGCATGTACACAGCCCCCAGGCACACATTTCTGCACTCCCCACAGTCAAGTGTGTGGCCACAGGAGACAGGGCTCCAGTTGCAGTTGCGTGACTGTAAGCAAAAAGCCCGATGATGGAGCCCGCATTTCTTCATCTGCAAAATGGGAATCAGACGAACTGTTTCATAGGAATCAAATGAGATAAGCACAGGGCTTGACACATGTGAAGTGACAGCAAGTGACAGGGCTTTTCTTCCTTCATCCAGTGCAGGTCTGCCTTTCCTAGGATAGTAACATATCAATAACCATCACTAATTCAATCAGTATTTATTGGGTGCTTACTTTGCGCCAATCTCCATTTTATGGAATGGGGGAAATCAGGGGCAATACCTCCATCCCTATCTTGGGGAAGAAGAGGTAGTTACTCATCTCTGTCCTGTCACTGTCCCCTCTAGGGCCTGGAAAGGGTAACCCATTGGGTCCTCTCAGCACCTGGGGAAGGGCTTGCATTGGTAATGCTGGCCCCTGCCTCTATCTGTCATCTTCTCAAGCAGAAAAACGATTTTCAGATTGTTTAGGTCTTTTTTATTTTATTTTTTCCTTTATGACATCCTCATCTAGTTTGAAGCATGCAGGACATCCTCATATGAAGCACTTGAGGTATAAAAATAGAAGGGAAAAAAAGGCCTAGGGGAATGGGGGGGG